TTAAAGGAGTTAGCAGGAAGAAAAAAATAGAAATTTCAAAACTTCCCAAAGTTTCTGAAACTGTCTTTCAGAGAACTGTGCAGAATGACAGACTGCAGCATCTGACTTCAGCACACAGAGGTTCAAAATCTGTGCCTCTGACTAGAGACAAACTGCCAGAGTGTTGGTGAGGAGGTGCTGCCACTTAAAACCTGGGCTAGATTTAGGCCATTTGGATTCCAAATGGAGTTGGATCCAAATGTGGTAACACAGAAAAATAAGCTGTAAGAGAACAAGTCTTCCTAGCAAAATATTTTATGGAAGCTGCCCCTGAGGACTTACCCAGAATTGCACAGCATATGGTGAAGACTTGCTTCTGTACTTGAAAACAAGAACTTGAACTAAGGTCTCTGAGCACAAATGTGGTGAATGCATCAGACTATCCTTCTTATTTAACTGCCTGTCTCCTCCAGTCACATGTAAATCCTGCCTAAATGAGAGCCTGTCTCTCCTAATGATAACATGGAAGTGTGATTACCTGAGGTGTGGAAGTGAACAGTATCATAAGGAGAACAGATGGCAGGCAGTTCTGAGTGGGGATATGGTTGGCTGTGCTGTGGTGAAGCTACCTGCAGCAGCTGAAGCTGTTATCTTTTCTGGCTGGCTGTTTTGCCTCCTAGCTGGAGATAATTGCCCTTATGGTGTTGGCAGGATGGAGTGTGTGAACACTTGGTGGCTCTGTCATCCAGTGCTGCATGGACTGGCAGGTTCCTTTATGGATCTCCGCTAGAATGAGGACTGGCCACAGGCTTGTAGTACATAAAATACTTAATTATCAGCAGAGCTTATTGTTATCAACAATTTCTAGCATTTAGTGTAGTTTATTGTTGCATGAAGTTTTTATCAATTATCATACTTTTTTAAGCAAAATCTCTAGTAATTGCTGTAGTTTGCTTTATTATCTAGAGTCTTTAGTTACCCAGACTTTTAGTCACCTGGACCCTCTGCAGTTTGGGTCAAATTCTTAATAATCAGTACATGATACAATAATCAAAATCTGGATTTAGACTTTACCCAAAAGAAGGTAAGTCACTCACTCAATCTTCAGAGGAAGAAGATGACAAACAGTGGATGCATCCCAGACCACTGGTGGATCACAAGTTTTGCTGTCCAGCAGCACAACTTGCATCTGCTTAATTTCATAGGCAGTATCTCATGGTGTTACAACTTCCCTGTTCCATAATGAGTGTCACCACATCCTGGCAGCAATGCTCAGTGGGCAAACAGTCTTGTCACAATGCTGACAGGAGATCTGGCTGTTCTATAATGGGGCTCATCACATCTTTGTGACAACTGCAGTTTTGAAAAGGGGAAGAGAGAAGTTTTATGACTGCTTGTCTTAACAAATGGCTTTGGTTATGCTAATCATATTACCAGGAGTCAGGAGCAGGGCATAATGGTCACATGGCTACAAAGGAAAGCCTCACCATAGTGTAAATGCTCTTCCTAAGCAAAAATCAAACACTACACTCAAGTAGTTGAGGCATGTACATATACCACTGCCACCTCTGAGATGCAAACAATAACCCGCAGCAGAAGGTAGCAAATATTACTTTACTTACCACTTCAGCTGTGAATGTGTGTCCATGACCAGGGAGAACTGCGGATGTGGACGATTCAGTTCTGACTCAGTTCTCCAGAGCCCTAGGTCTGTGATGTGTAAAGTAATTTCTCTTTCTTGGAGACAGTCCATGTACTCAGTAACTTTTATGATAATTGGCATTTGTCTTTTCTAGAAAGGTACTTATGTTAGCACAGGACTGAAGGAGAGTCAGAGACACCTTTGCAACAAAGCTGTCAGGGAGGAAGGGCAAGAAACATTAGTATGATCCCTTATACCTGTTGTAATCTCAGAAAACTGAGCACCAACTTGCTCTCTGTGAGGAGACTCCAATGTTGTTCTCATCCCATAAAGAATGGCTTGAGGCTTATACTGGCGGCAAATGCTCTTCCAAGTTACTGCGAGCAGTGCATGGTAAGTGCATGGTCCTGATGGCAATGCATTAATCACAGCCAATGACAAAATGTTTTCTGGACCAAGTCTTACATGATCTTTGATATCTTTGTAAACAGTGGTCAAAACAAATCACTTCTATGAGAACAAGCACTGCATTATCTTCCCTCTGTATCTCAAGCCATCTTGTTCCTCTTGCCACACCTTGGTCTGTCTTTTCACCTACATAGTGGACATATTATTCTGTTCGTAAACTAGCTGCTACGATTTACTTTTCTGATGAGTTCTTAATAGCACATTTAAGACCTGATAGCAGTTCATCTATCAGCCACTGCTTCTGTGAGGCTCAAATAGTCAATGCTTGAGAAAATTCTTCCTGTGAGCAGTATATGGCTGGATGTGTGCCCCGGCAGTGCCTACACCGCTAGGTAAGCACATCTTCTCAAGCTCACAGCAGAAGCTATTCCTATCTCTGTATTGGAAGAGCCTGCCTACTGTGATTGCAGCCTGCTCTCGCTGTCTCTGTGACTCTTCACAGCCTGTCAGTTTTTCTATTGACACTTTTCCAGTTCATCACAACCTCTCTCTTTTCTGTAGGCTTGCTTCTGTAAGAGTGAAGTGCTTAGACTGCCTCAAACCAGCAAGTGGTACATTAACTCCTCCGAAATTGTGTGTTTGAGTCTGTGTCCATGTTCGCTCCGTTAGCAGTTCCTTTTTATCGTTCTTTGGTTTACCTTCACATGTTCACACAGACAGCAATACGGAACTGAAGAGAGAAAACAAGTCACACATAAAATATTCATGGAAGACAAGATAGATACTTTCCCAGTTTGTCATCTCTGTCTGAGATTCATCTCCTGGCTAATCCGTTGCAAAGTCTACTTATGTTCTGCAGGAGACTTAGGTTTTATCCTCATACGATGCAAGTAATCTGTCTATTTGTGTCTCAAGGCTTTATTTAATTCTTACTCTCTTCCAAAGGAAATGCATACTCTGTTTTATCTAGAAAATTGTTATTTGCACATTTCTGCTAAAATAGTCTTTTCTGTCTTGTCTCATTTTATGGCTCATGCAGATTTGGACCTTGTTCATGGAAGATACAATGACTTTCCATTCCAGTACGTCTGAGTGATTGTTAAATTTTTTCCCTTTCCTTTTCCTTTTCACAGACAATTTTCTTTGCCATTACTGGTATTATTACATTCATGGAAAAGTATATTGGGGAAAAAAAAGACATAGACAGGTTCTACTTCCGTTCTTTTCCTGAATGAGCAACAGCAAGGGAAGTGGGGAAAAAAAGGCCTGCAGTCTCCAAGTAGCATCCTCAAACTATGGATAAGGAGTAAATCAAATACTAAGCAAGAAACACACACCACCAGGTAGTTTTTACTTAGGCTTAGCCAACAGTGACTGTTCTGTTCTGGGAACCTGCCATTTAATTTCTAATCTGCATTGTATAATGATGGAAGAGGTGAAAACTCTTGGAAGGTGGGTACGAACTGTTTAACTCCCACTGCTTTGATCTGTGTCTATGGGAATACAAAATGACTTATAATACATTGTCTGCATCATTCTCTGGTGCTATGCTGGAGCCTCCTGTTCAAACATGTTATCTTTCCCACCTTGTTTGCAAACCAAATAGTTCGGCAATTGTAATAAATTGGTACCATTTCTGCCTGGGCACAGCATAGTTATATATCATCATCAGGGTGACATACCTCCATGGGCAAAACCACATTGAAGCCTTCTCACATTAAACATGAATAATGTGATCTGTTGGTTGCTCACCAACAAGCCGTGGCCTTTAATCTTTTTAGGATCATCTCTAATTTCTCACACACTGGTATCTTGAATTTTGAAACAGTTTGGCAGTGAAGGGGAGATCTATATTCACTGTGTTTCAGCAGTAAGAGAAGTTCTTCTCTATGAAAGAGTCAGCACAGTGAATGGCCTGGAACAAATCTGCAGGGCCACCGCAGGTCTGACTTAGCCAGCAGCTGTAAGGGAAAACTTAATGATCTTGCTTTTGTCCACCACAGAAAAATTCTGTAAAGTAAAGATTTGTGTATTGCCAATATTGATGAAGAGAATTATGAAAAGTAGTATGAGCCAGAAGTATTATTAGAATTACAGGGAGACACGGGATATGCTTTTAGAAGAGCATTTAATTCCCTTTTTCCACCTTGCCTCTCACGCTTATTCCCCCTTTTTTCCTGAGAAATAAAAAAAAAAAAAAAATGTGATTTTAATAGAAAATGCAATTATTGCCTGGTCTTTTCCCTCCTTCACAAAAAGGCTGGCTGTAGTACTGCAGTGTACTAAGGACTGCTCTGGGAGCAGTGGCTGTCCCAGATCTCCTTCCACACTACCTGCCTATAAGCTGCTCAGGAAGATGAAATGCTGGTAGCATTTTTAAAACAAACAAATAAAATAATTAAAAAAACCCCAAATAAAATAAATTAAAACAAACTAAATAAAAATGACAGGCGGTTACCAGGATACAAATAAGAAAGAGAACTCCACATAAAACTTTTAGAATAGGGAAACAAATCTTGAACATTTACTATTGCTTTTAAGTATATGTATGATGAGAGAGAGAAACTGGAAAAAGTTAGATACAGCATGTCCCATATGTATACCTGTTCAGATCTTGCAGACACTTGAGTGGTATTTCAACCATCTCTGTGTTTCTTTCCTGAAAATAATGTTTCACAGAAGTGGTTCAAAGCACTTGCTTTTAGAGCAACAGCCAGAGCAGAAATGTCCCGGAGTGTGTAATACAGACCAGGAGCATGTGATCAGATGCTCACTGTCAGACTCATTAATAGAGTTAGTGGAAGGAAACACACACCTCTTCACACTTAATGTAGGCAATGGCTGTTTTGCAGGTCTGTCTGCCTTTCAGGTAGCTTTTTTTGTTCAGTATATTTTGGAGGAAGTGTGGGAGGAGGGAGAGATGCTGCTGCTGCATGTTCAATGCAAAGTGCTTGTCTGTGATAGGCTGAGGGGACGTGGATACTCTGCCTATATATGCTGGCAACTGCATCCTCTGCGCTCTATAGCTGCCACAGAGGAGCAAGGAAAGACAGTGAGAAAGACAGAAGAGAAGAAAAAACCTTACCAACTCGCTGTAAGTAGCATACTTTGACCTTAAAGCTTTGTAGTTTTTGAATTCAAGTGGGTGCATTTGGATTAATGCAACAATTGGTTACTTAGAGTGGGAGCTTGGCTAATAAACAGACAGCCTGTGTTGCTTTAGGGATAATCTGAGGTACTCAGAAAGCATTTCTTTTTAACCTAAGTTTGCACAATGTAGTGTGCACCTGTCATTTTGTGTTTGCTTGTTTTTATGTATGATGTATGTCAGCTATAACTATTTATGTACATTTATGCAGAATCCTATATATCCAAAAGTTTATATCTTGACTTTCCAAGTGTAACAGTTCTGAATAACCAAGCAGACCCTGAGAAATTCTCTGCCAAATATTCTGAATAATAAGTTTTTCAAGATAAATTCAGTGCAGGACTTTTTAGGGTGAGATTTTCCTCAGAAATAACCCTTTCCCATCACTATAATAAGACCTCAGAAGGGAAAATTACTAAGTTTGCAGACTCTGTGCCAGTGATAGCAATTAATAAAACCAGCAACTTCTAAATGGAAAACAAAATTTTTAAATGAAATGTAGGGCCTGTAACATGCATACCTAATTCATAGAATCATAAATGGTTAGGGTTGGAAAGGACCTTAAGATCATATAGTTCCAGTTCTTGGCTTGTGCAAAGGTAGAAGTACAGAGTACAGAGTACAGATCCTTTTTACTCATGCTGAAATAAAATTCATCCTATAGTCTTTACTCAGGCGATACTATCGCCAACAGTAAAGTTTAGTTTAACAGTAGCAACAGCTGCAAAAACCTTCAATAGCAGAAAGGTTCAATAGCAGGAAGTCCTCATGGCTTCAGTGGTGTCACTGTAGCACCACAAGCCTCTAAATTACATTATATTCTGCAACAATCAGTTGGCATTATAGAAAGTGCACTTGTCTCATTTATTGGAAAGATGTATAGTTATTACTTTTTTGAGCCAATGCAGCTCTCAGTTTAAGGTGCTATTAATGGCTTTGTGCATTTTTCCTTCTGCATTTAATAATAGGAGCTGCTAAAAGATTTTATTATGTTAGCTGTTTTTTATTTTACTTTGATGAACTGGAGAACAGGCACTCATAAAATTATAATACGTCAAATACACTTATCTCCACAGTTGTTCTTTTTCCTTTTGTTCGTCCTCATAACAAATTTCCTTGTAGCATTTAGATATCTTTTACATTTATATTTATTTAATACAAATAACAAATTCTAAAATTATAGAAAATACTTTTTAACAAAAATAATAAGCTGAACATTACCTGCATAATGTTACACCTATAAATGTATTTGATACTTAAATGTGCTTAAACTGTTTATTTGTATGGTTCAGTTCTGAATAAGGCAGAAAATGGTTTGCAAATGAATATTATACCGGATTTACAATCTAAAGACTTAACAACAGTTTTTAGTAACTTCATTAAAATAAAACGTTGCCATGTTCTAATTTCAGTGCTTTAAGGTAGGAGCAGTTTAAACAAAGCATCAGAGGACATGTTATCTGTGACAAAAATCCAGCAAAATTAAAGAGCAAAGGGACCTCAAAGATCGTCTAGTTCCCCACCACCACCATCAGCAGGGACAGCTTCCACTAGACCAGTTTGCTTCAAGCCTCGTCCAACCTGGTCCTGAACACTGCCAAGGATGGGGCAGTCACAGCTTCTGTGGGCAACCTGTGCCAGGGCCTCAGCACCCTCATCATGAAGAATTTCTTGCTACTATCTCATAAAAATCTACATGATTTCAGTTTAAGGCTATTCTCCATTGTTCTGTCACTACATGCCCTTGTAAAAAGTCCCTCTCCAGCACTCTTGTAGGATCCTTTTAAGTACTGGAATACTTGGGTTGGTATTCTTGGTAAAAGTGATTTTTATCAATCAGAGTGAGGCTGTCAGTGAATTTACAGTCTGTGCTTACAAACTGACAGAGGTTGAAAATTAGGGTGGGTGCCAGCTGAGAAGCTGTCCTCTCCCCAGCTGGTGTTCAGCTGGCAGATGTTGAATATGCTGAAATTCATACAGGAATTGTGGGATCCCTGAGAGCATGGAGTCTTTGTCAGTCTTTATGGGCCTTCAAGAAAGCAGACCACTATTAAATACTTTAGAGAAAGTCTCAGCTTTGCTGAAGTTTCCATTTAGTTATGGAAACTCAGCCTGCATTATTTTTCAGTTTAAATTGCTTCAACTTAAGTGAATATTTCAAGTACACACAGATTGTAACACTCAGCCCTTCAGGAAATATGATGCTCTCAAACCGTTTTCATTTTAGACCCTAGACGCTGAGTTATCTGAGGTATTTTGCTTCTTAGAAAATCACATTCTATATTTTTAAAATATACCAGCATAGAGGGAAGGTCTCTCTCTATTCATTGTATTGTTGCATTGTACATTCATGTGAGAGGTAGAAGAGAGAAATATTATGTACTGTTTAGAGAGGTGATGTAATTTGAATTTTTAGAGTACTAACTGGTAATCATTATATTTGTCAGATATTCAGTCTGTTGGATGTGGCTTCCCTGGCAAGTAATACTTTCAATCAGATGAAGTGAGATCTATAATGAAGAGCTGAGGAATAAAAATAGGGATGAGAGTGTCTTGTCACTCACAGAAGAATGGATATAAAACAGGAGGTGAAAAGGAAAAGTTGAATGACCACTGTGTTCCTGTGTCTGCCTTCACAGTTCCCAGTGAGATATGTGTGTTGCAGTAAGTAAGGAATTTTCAGTCAAGGACTTTTAGGAAAGATAATGCCTAGGTACATAAAAATAGGTAGGCAGGTAGGTAGGTAGGTAGATAGATAAATAGATAGATAGACAGACAGACAGATGTTTAGCTAGATCTCAATTTCTCTTTATTGTCTTCAGGAGAAAGAAGAATGAAATACTTCATCTCAGAGTGAAGCAGATTGATGTATTTCACTGGATCAAACTGAAGTGAAAATTCATTAGAGGTTAACTAGATACCAGTTTATATCAATTTACAACACTGCAGTGACTATGGCAGATTTGTGATGGGTGGTTCATCCTCCCATTCTTTATGTTTAAGCTTCCTAATTCAATTACTTCTCCCATGCAAAACAGTGGGTTTCCCCTGTAATTTAATTCTTCATCCTGAATTTTGAGGATACTATTGAAGCAGTGATTTATGGCAGAAGTAGTGCAGCCAAAACAATGTTAGGATGAGCTAGGGGACTTCCATTTCTTAGGAAGACCTATAGTCAGCACATAACAAATAAGATCTCAGTGATTATCTAAAATGTGTATTTTGTCAAATTGAGTTGACAGTTTTCAATACCATGGTCATAGGCTGAATCCACAGAATGTGTATCTGATGTTTAGATCTAAATTTTGTTTGCTTATCCTGATATCCAAAAAGAACTTCGTCCAACTGCTAATAATAAAAATGACAAAAAATTATATCAGCATACTATATAGGAACAGGATAATGCAGGTATTACTTGGAATAGAAAGGATTTCAGATCCAAAAAGATCTCAGTGGTAGAAAAATGGCCGCAATCTATATAATGTAGTATCTATGTTGTAGTGATATGATAAAGTAAATTTATTTTTGTCTGTGTGTTTGTGAGCTTACACATGATGCTATTTATGCCATTTGATTTATATTTCAGGAAAAAGACCAAGCGATCCACAGGAGCTTGTGTCCTATGTTTGATTGATAAAAAGTAAAGCTAAACAGTAGTATAGGGATGCTCTTGACATCATACTTACAGTTCATTGGATACACAGATACTGAATAAGATATTCAGCTGAACTGGTCCATGTGTAAAAGTCTGTAGGAATAACTGTAACTCAGTGGTGAGCAACAGTAGTGCTAGAAACACCAAATTAGTAGGAGTTCTGAGTCAGTTCTGTCTCAGGCAACTCCCACTAATTTGGCAGTCATGGGTTAAATTCTTATTTTCACAGCTTTCATCTCTGAAACCAGAGGAAAAAATAACAGATTACCACATCCAAGTTCTTCAGAGCATGCTATAGCAATGAACTGATGAATGAAGTAGCATAAAAGAAATAATGACAGCATAAGTTAAGGGTTAAGTTAGAGATATTTTGAAAAAGAAATGAAACAGTATGATACTTAGACTTATTCTGGCAAAATCTTAAGTAAAGAGTGGAGCCTTGGGCTGTGATTAGCTTGCTGTCACAGCAGCTAATCACAGCATATTGGTCACTGCAGTTCATGCTGACTTATTTAGAAAGTTTATTACAATTTTGAACTGCCATCAAAAATATATTAAATGAAAATGCACATAAGATATGGGGGGTGTTGAAGAAATGGAATAATCCTGACTGTAACCCTGATTGTAAAGGAGAAGAAAAAAAATTGCTTGCTTAAACACAGGCTTTGAAAGGGGAGATGACAGACAAAACTGCCCACCAGAATCCTCTGAGGATGGTAATGACTACTGATTATGTGTTTTCAGCAACTTAGTAGCAAGATCTGAGAAAGATCCTAATTCCCCTTTGAGAAATTCATAGAGCGAGCCAATTAACACTGACATGATAGTTAAAGAGAGTAATATAACTCTAACAAAATAGCAAAAATAACAGCTATTCTCGGTGGGGGGTGTGGGGTGGGGTGGGGAGTGGGGGGTGGAGGCTAGAAATCCCTACTGTTCGGATCCTTGCTTTCCCAACTGGTTCATGACCTACAAGCAGCACCCTGCCTTTTTAAATAGCAGCAGCAGCTGCTCCACACAAATCCCAGGTCCTCTATTTGTAGCAGCAGATGTGCCTCTAGATTGGTGTTTATCAATGATGTCTTTCTTTTGTAATGTAACAGTACTAATTCAAATATAATAAAGACCCCAGAAGGGTCTCTCTTTTCTCAAAATGATGACCGTGGTTATAAATCCTTAGCACAAGTAACTGATATATAAGAAATTGTCTCTTAATTACCTAATATTCACCTTGTATTTAATATAATTATTTCCTTACAAAGTGAAGATCTGAAGGTATGTGAACTAGGTAGTAACTGTTTACACTAGCAGCGAATATCCTTACTTTACTTGCCAATTTTCTTACTAGATCACCAGGAACATTATCACTCACTCTGAGTTTATAAAGACTCTTGGACTTTTTTCAGGCACTGTTGTCTCAACCTTGTATTTACTGAGCACTCAAAATGCACAGCCACATACAGTAAAAAAGTTGGGCATGCCAGGATGGCAGGAGCAGGCACTGTAGCAACATGAATTATGTTTACACGGTACTTTGCAGGCAAACTTCAGCTCATCTGAGCTGAGCCATATATCACCTTGGGTGTGCTTACACAGTCTCTGCCTAGCTTAAAGCACCCTGCCCAACATCTTGTAAATAGGGACAGCCCCAGAGAGCTTTCTCATATCCTACAAAATACAGCACAGATCAAGTCTAAGTGAATTCTAGTAGAAACCTTCATATGAAGTAAGGTTTTGTAAATGACACAGTATGTGCATTTACAGTGAAAGAGTGAAGAAGCTAAATCTTGAGGCAAGACAGGAGGTAAGAAGAAGATAAAATAGCAGGGCAGCAAAATGGATCACTGTGATAACTGTGATTATTATAGCTCGTTATTATAGATTATTTTAGGGACAAACAGCATGCTGTTTTCTTAAACCTCTTCTTAATGTGCCACATAACAGTGCCACATCCTTGTGTCAACCAACAGCAGTAAGAATTAAGTCTGTGATTTCTGAATCTTCACTGATGTGCCTTTACTGCTTTCCTGTGCTAAAGATACAGCCTGTCTGTATTAAGATAATCTACATTGTGACTTAGGCATCAAAGATTTAACAGTGTGATTTACTTCTATACAATGTTCAGCTAATATTGGAGTGGAGCAGAATGTAATACTGTATGGATATTGGCCTAACATGCAGAAATGAGAGCATATGGTCTTTTCAGAAAGGCCATATGAGTCATGCTATAAATCTGAGTAACAGGTTTAAAGCTAGTAAAATTTTCTTTCAAAAGTGAATTTTTCCTTTTCTTTTTATTTATTTTTTTTTTTTTAGGGTTTTTCTGATAAGAAGTCCTAAACTCTGATACCCATGGATGCTGCAGAGTTCCGCAAGAGAGGGAAGGAGATGGTGGACTATATTGCAGATTACCTGGAGAAGATAGATGAAAGACAAGTCTTCCCAGATGTGGAACCAGGATATCTAAGGCCCCTCATTGCGGACTGTGCGCCCCAGAATCCTGAGACCTTTGAGGATGTCTTTAAAGACATTGAGAAGATCATTATGCCAGGGGTAAGAAAAATGGATCTGTAGTGTAATGTTCGATACTGCATGTAGGTTTTCAAAGCCTTTAAGGAAAGTGTGAATTGAAGGCTGTGCAGCTAGACCTTACGAACTTAAGTATCTACACTGATTAGCTTTAGAAGGCAGGATTCTGCTTTGTATCCCTAGTTAAATATGACCTAACACTTTACACAACAAATGTTTTCTGTTCTTGCTAAAAATAATCAAATCATTATTTTGCTTCATGCAAGGATTGCTTTTGGAAATAATCCCCTTTCATCCCCTTGAACTAGTTAAGGCAAAGCTTCATAACTTTCATGTGATATTTTTGCTACTTGCAAAGTACAATAAATATTTTATAAAATGCTTTTTTTATTAGTCTGCTGTGCCTAAAGTGTTCCTTCAAGCTGATCTTTAAATGTTAAAATTCTCTTAGGAGTTTCCCTTTTATTACAGCGCTGACTAGAAAGGATTCTTCTCGATACTTGTTCTGTTGACTTACTCTCCTAAATGTCAACTTTTAGTAGCTTTTAAGGCAGATGGCCACTACCTAAATATTAGTCCTTGGATAGATCAGTGTTGGACAGACAATGCAGAACAAAGTATCTAGCATTTGTCCAGTTTTGAATCTTTCTTGGTTTTCCACTCCTGGTATACCTTCTTTATTTTAAATATATCCTTGTCTTTTAGGGCCTCTAAGTAGCTTCAAGAGGACAGGATTATTAGTAAACGTTAAAGAGGAATCCCTCTTTTGGATCTCTGCAATAACCATTTTGCATTGCTTCTCTGGATACAGTTAGGTGATGTGGTTGCAATGTGACTCGACCCACTGCTTTGCAAATGTGTTTAGTCAGTGTTCTATAATACCAATTCCTTTTCATTGACCAATGTAAATATTTGATACTCAATATGACTTTATCTTGTTTCCCTTGGAGCCAATGCTGCTGTCCTTTCACAGGTAAAAGCTCCACTGAAATCAATGAAAATCTTTCCACTTTTCTCAAAGATTTTTGGATGAAGTCTTAAATCTGACAGAGTTAATTAGACAAGAGAATTATGTCCAACACATGCAAATACTTCCATTGCTGCTCATAGATACGATTGCCTTTTCTTTTTCGTTGGATGAAAACACTAAACGATTATTTTGTCTGTGGAGTAGAACAGAAAAAACTTTGCTTTAAACACATAAGAACATTAAATAAAATAATATCAAATTAAAAAAGAAGATATGAGTCATATGAGAATAGAAAGTGAGACATCAAATTCCAATTACATCATCAGCGTGTCATGTGTCGTCTTAATTAAATTATCTTTTTCTTGATATTTACATGCCCTGCAAGTAAATTTACTTTTACAAGGTAATACATGCTGAAGAAGAAATGTTCTTTACAAAACTTTTCTCTGGTGTGAAATGTTAGTGTTTTTGACATGAAGAGCACAAGTACATAATTACAAAAATACGTAAACCCCTGTTCTTATAGTAACTCTGATTCTGCCTATGTTGTTTATACTCAATACCGAAGACTGACATGAGCTTGGAATCATAAAGTCATAGTAGAGTAGAGGTTGGATGGCACCTCTAGAGATCATTTATTCCACCCCCCTTGCTTAAAGCAGGGTCAGTTAGAGCAGGTTGCTTGGGACCATGTCCAATTGGGCATTACATATTTCCAAGGATGAAGTCTTCACAATGGCTCTCTTGGGTCTTAAAATCCAAATCCCTCAACACTCAGGTTGCTTGGGTGCTTCACTACACACAGCTGTGCTCCCAGCCCATCTGCAACCAGGGCACTGAACCTTTTCTGTAGTTGCAGACCTGCAGGTGGAGCAGAAGCCTTCCTCCTAGTGTCAGTAGTTGCAAGTTTCTGCTCTTCACCAAGGCGGGACTCCATTCCCCAATGCAGTAAGTAGAGACTCTGACTGCTCCTCCTTTGGTATGTTCTGGGGTTCAGGCTCTTGTATCTGAGATACCTTGAGCAATGTCTTGGGAAGATCCACTCAATCTCTCTTTTGTCATTTCTGATACTGCACAATCAGCAGTATAAGGCTTCATTACGTTGGATAAACCAGACCCTCCACTAGTGCATACCTCCTGCAGGCTAAGAGACCATCTTGCACTGCCCCAACCTTGGCAAGAGGCCTCATCATCCCTGCAATGCCAGGCCTGTAGAGCTGCATACTCCCTCAGGAATTTAGTCTGGGTTGAGACCCATGATGTGCCAGGGGTAGCTGTTCAGTTGCTGCTGGGGACTGTGCCTTATGGAGCGTCACAACCACTGCAGGGCTCACATACACTAGTCTTAGTAGTGTTTCTGGACCTCTTCTCTGCATAGTGCTGCGCAAGCTGCTTCTTCTGTTGGCTGTGTTCACAGAAACTGAAGTGTGAAAATGATAGTGCTGTACAAACACATGGTGGCAGGGAGCATAGGAAGAATTTAACATAAGACTTACTCACATTTGGTTTAGAGACTTCTAAAATTGTTTGTAATTTGTTTTAGGGACTTTTGAAATTGGCTATAGGGACAACCTACCCCCATTGTATTTTCCCTTAATCTTCTTCCCATCTTTTTCCTGACAAGACTAACATTTTTTAAGTACATCTAGTGTTTTTCAGCTATAGTGATTTTCTAGTGTTTCGCCAGGGAATGTCTTATTTCCGTTTTACAAATGAGCAACTGAGCTTCTTCAAACAGAATAAATAACACAACAGAGGTCATAGAACCTTGTTTTGCTATATGCTATCAGTGGCCCATAAATGATTCTTGTTTCCTTCATGCTGATATCTTTACTGTGTTACTTGTGTTCAGGTATTTACCACATTAGATGATTGAAAACATGAATGTGGTGTTCCTTCAGAGGAGCAAGGATCAATTAATTGTGTAAAGCAATGATGCAGTACCCACTGCTGTTTTTACCATATAGGAGAACAAGTATTCATGTGCGGTAAAACTTCTCTATGGAGAGTTCTTGTGAAATTGGATGTAGGCCTTCAAAGGGCAGTCCACTAAATGGTAATGACCATAATGGTGCCAAGTTCCTAATATGAACACAGGGACTGAGGGAACAACTGCTGAACTCTGATCTCCACATCAGGAAGCCAAGGTGGAAAGGATTTACATACAAAAATATCAGTGGGAGTCACCTTTCTCTCTCAGGCTTGCTTTGTTCTCATGAGATATATGTCCTTTTTTAGAGTCAAAAATTATCAAGTTTAGTTGTAACTGCAAGTAGCAGTTACGAAGATGCTAATTTTCCTCACATTGGATCCATTAATCTATGAACTCTCAGATAAAGTACCCAATTCTTAGTGTGTGGTAAAGGAAGACTTTTGCTTAGACTAAGCAAGCCACAGAAAGAAAGACATCCTTGGACAAAATCTAGGCAGTGAAAAGTCTCTGAGAGGCATTAGAGTGGTAATTACTGAAATCAAGACACTTGTGTATCACTGTTTATCAGCAGAGGGCTGAAAAAACAAGCATCAATTATATCACACTCTTTGCAATATTTGACTAAGTGTGTCTGTTCCAACATGGCAAACGAAATGAATTATACAGCTGCTTCAAGAGAAGGGGGAAGGGGAGGCAGGAGGAAGAACTGCAGCTGCACTTGCCCTCGGGCTTTTGGCTTTTTTGCTCTGTGTGAGTGGTGCAACTGAAATCTGCTGTGTTTCATCAAACAAATGGCTCCCAGCAAGTAGGCAGTTTAACTTGATTAACCCAAGATGAATGTCACAAGTCTTACAGATCACAAAGGATTAGAGCTGGGGAGATGAACAGTGGCAGCCCTGGCTCTTTGTGGACGTCAGTGAAAGTCTGTGCATGTGGGTCCTATCAGGGACCACTGTTTATTGGGTATTTTTAAATCTGTTGTTTTCCTGTGAAAAGCCAAGTCCCATCCCATTTTTTATTCTGATTTGTGAAGGTAGGTGTTTGCCACAAGTGCTCTAAAACTTTGTTACAGCAAAGAGAGAGATCCTGACCAGGTAAGAGATACAGCTAAAAATGTTCACAGTGGCTTGTCTTTGGATACCTGATTTGAGAAGGTTTGGATCCAGTGACCAGTTGTGGTTTAATCCCAGCTGACAACTCAGTTTGCTAACTCCCACCCCTCCCTCCTCCATGGCATGGGTAGGAGAACTGGAAAAAAGGTATAACCTGTGGGTTGATATAGAAACAGTCTAATAATTGTAATGAAGTAAAATATAATAATACTGGTAATAATAATAGTCATCATAATTATAATGAAAAGGAAGATAACAAAAAGAAAGAATAAAACTCAAGAAAAACAAGTGATGCACAATACGGTTGATCACCACCGATGCAGCAATCCGCCACTCGCAGGTCCCAGTTTCTATACTGCGCATGATGTGCTGTGGTATGGAATACCCCCTTTGGCTAGTTTGGGTCAGGTGTCCTGTCTCTGCTTCCTCCTGGCTTCTTGTGCCCCTCCTCACTGGCAGAGCATGAGAGACTGAAAAGTCCTTGATCAGGGTAAGCACTTCTGAGCAACAACTGAAACATCAGTGTGTTATCAGCTTTGTTCTCAGACTAAAGCCAAAGCACAGCACTGCACCAGCTACTAGGAAGAAAATTAACTCTATCCCAGCTGAAACCAGGACGCCAGAAAAACAGGAATCTTGAACATACACCTGTAGGACTAGTTTAGACTGTGGAAAATTGTAGTGGATTGGGGCTGTTTTCATATGAAAGAGATAGGGGCATCTGAAATGTTATATATGGTATACTACAGCAGAGAAAGTGATATCTGATTCATTGTATATACAAGAGTTAAGGCAGTTTCCCTTAGCATGGAGCATGCCCCTTAAAGAAGAGCTGTTTGTTGGTATGAAGAAGGCTAGGCGAGGAAATAAATGGATATTTGCAGTATGTAGAGTTAGCTCTAGAACTAGAAACCTTATCACAGACTGAGAGAAAGAGGAGTGTGAAAGGTAAGATTGATCAGAGGTGGGAATGCAGAACAAAACAGGAAGGAAAGCCGGAGCTCAGGCAAGAGATAATGTATGTTCTTATCCTACTCGATTTAGAACTCCAGTATTAAAAAGAAAAGAACACAAAATGGCATAAGAAAAGGCTTAGCTTCAATAACTCGGCAGCCTCTGGATTTCCAAACAAAGAAAGATCTTACACACGTTCTGCTGAATTCTTGCTTATAGTCCATCTAATCCTCTAGAAGCATTTTTTTCTAAAATTTGCCTTTTATCTTGAATGTGAAAGCTGGTTTTGCCAGACATATCACATCACATTACATTATTTTCACTGCACATTGCAGTGTGGCAGTACATTTCCCATTTTCAAATTTTATTAGATTGGAGATGTGGAGCACTATCAAGTATCTCATAGATCCTTAAAATTGCATAGATCTTGCATATGATAATTCTAAATATTGCTGCTATTTGTGCTGTTATTGTGCTCTCATATTAGAACATATAAAGAGGAATTGTATATAAATCACAACTTGTTACAAAGAGATAATAGTTTAATTTTCTACAGAAGATACTGAATACTGGAACAGATTGTTTCATTCTGTGGTAAGGAGCTGTCTGGCCAGATTCAGTACCTGAATTTTACCAAGTAACTCCAGAGTTATTTGGAGAAGAGAGTGGGCAAGAAGGTTCTGTGGACCTCTGCTGCCCTGAACTTGCTAAGTCAGTTGCATGTCATCGAGATGAAAGAAAAAAGTATCAGTGAGTCCCTGAAAGCAGAGGCTCAAGAACAGTGCCCTGCACAGAAAGTCATGGTGTCACTGCTCATGCAAGTCTTGTCTTCTAGGCAGACAAACAGAGAACTCTGGTTTTGGAACTGCTGGGAGGTGGGACAAGAACTAATTTTTTCTGATTTGAGTAAAGATAGATACAAAATAAAGAAAAAACAAAGAAAGCTATTCTAAAAAATGTAACACTAAAAAGCGTTAGAGTCAGGTACTCAAGAACTGTTGACTGGCCCCAACCTCTAATATTTTCTGATTTTGTGACAATTTGTTTCTGCTTCCTGCATTAGCTAAAAATGACTACTTTTCCCTTAATACAGGTGACTCACTGGCACAGCCCGTACTTTTTTGCCTACTTCCCTGCAGCCTCTTCCTTCCCAGCTCTTCTTGCAGATATGTTGTGTGGTGGAATAGGATGTGTGGGCTTCTCTTGGGTAAGTTTACTGGGGTATGTACTGCTATGTGGTAATAGTGTGTCACCTTGCCAAGATTTGAGGCATTTCAGTATCATTCTTCAATGAAAGTATTGATTAATAGCAGTGAAGTCACAGGACTATTTTTATAGGTGAATTCCTTGGCTAATCAAGTATTTTCACATAGCCTATATGACTCAAGGAATAAAAGGCTATTTCCTCATAGAAGTTTTGCTCTTGAAAGATCACCAGCATTTAGGATCAGTGGTAGCAGTGCAAACTTACTGGTAATTCATTGAGTGGTATGGCTGTTGCCTATCACCCGGTGTTGTCACTCATCAGCTGGATTAGTAGAAAATCGTATTAAAAAAACCCTACATTCATATAAGATAGGCTCTTCTCAAGAGGTTGTTACTTGATGTCAAAAAAAGCCCAAACCCAAGATGCAATTTCTAGCTTTGACATTTGATAGTCACGATTCTATATGAGGCCCAGTTTGACATTTTTTTTAGTAAGTGTTAGAAAAAACATACACAGAATGGTCTTCAGATCTCTAATGTGGCTGGTGAAGTTAGTCAGTCTTCCTAAAAGACAGAAAGAGTTATTCTTACTCTGGCAGGTCCTATTTCTCTTCATGATCTAGCGAGGTTATTTCCTCTGTTCTATTTTTCAACCCAGGCTGCAAGTCCAGCTTGCACAGAGCTGGAGACTGTCATGCTGGATTGGCTAGGGAAGATGATTAATTTGCCTGAAGAGTTTTTAGCAGGGAAGGATGGTCACGGTGGAGGAGTCATTCAGGTAAGAGGGGATTTGAAGAAAGAAATTGGGCTGAGTTTGTGGACTCTTTGATTTTGTAAACCCATCACACCAAAATGCTGCTAAAGGAATATTAAAGTGAAATGAAGAGCTGCTTAAAATTTCAACTTAAATGATTCTATCAGTAGATAACACGATTTTCAGATTACACTGCAGTATCCAAAATAGAACAATCCCCCCCGACTTTGATGTTAACTGCTTAATGAAAGCCTGAATTAACAATTAATACAATGTCTGAACAGAGTATCTGTTAGATAATGAATATATCATCAATGGGCAAACTTGCATGCATAATAAAGCTATGTTGTTTGACAGCCATGGTTCACTAGCACATTGTCTTTCTGCAAATGCAGGCTGTGGTCACAGCTATTAATCTAACTAAAATAGATCTCTACTATGAAAAAGACTGAATTTTAAATAGTTGTTCTGTGCTCCTTTGATAATCTCTGGAGTCTGGTCATTGGAAGCCAGGCAGGGCACAATCCATTTTATCTTAAGATAGGCTTCAAAAATACATCTGAATTACACGCTAGAAGTGGGGGCTTCTTTCTTTGATCTCAGCTGCAAATGCCTATAGCATATTCCAATTAGTTCTTCCCAACATCTTCCCAGGGAAGTATGAATTTAACTCAAGTGCTGTGTTTCTCCTAGGCAGAGCTGCAATATTTCCAGCATAGCTCTTTACTCATCTGCTTGCTCTCTTAGGATCTTTATTATTACGATGACTGGGGAGGGGGTTTTGTTCAAGAAATCAAGCTTTTGTCATGCATCTCAGCAGTATTTATTTTGTACCAGTGAAAGCAAGCAATTATGCCTG